CGAAACTTTACAGCCCAAACCCGTTTTCTCACTCAAATTTTACACTTCGGAGTCCCAGAATCCGAGCTAACAACTCTTCCTCGTCCACCACAGTCCAAGATGAAGCTCAAAAGCTCAGTGACGAAGCCATGAGCATTGACAATCTTCGCCGCTTCGTTAACCTCAACTTGGGCAAGTGGAATGGTTCCTTCTTTGTAAGTATCTAGTTTGCACTACAAAATTTGAGTTAAATATGGTTGCTATGGCTAAGTAAATGCAAGAAAAGTAGAGAAATTCAGTCTTTCGTTTTATGTTGTGTTTTTCAAGATGGCAAATTATTCAACTTTCTGAGAGAAAAAATGCATGTAGTTAGCTCTATTCGTTGAGTTATTGGTTTTCTGGGTTTGGTAATGAGTCTGTTTTATCTCCTTTCTCCTACGTTTTCTGGGCAGTCAAACAGATAAATTAAGTGTTCGAAGAATCGGCCTAGGCGGGTCTGGGAGAGTCTGGGCGCCTGGGCGGGTCGTGTGATTTTAGATTATTTATTAGTTTGAGTGATTTTGTAGCAATTTGATGCTGTTGGGAATCTATTGCATAAAGTGAATACGAAGCTGTCAGCTAGCTCTTACGGGGAAGATGAACTCATCAGTCTCATTCAAACGTAAGTTTCAGGTCCACTTATTACATTTAAAAAGTAAAAGTCTGAAAGATAAAAGGAACGATTAGGGATTAGAAAAAATAATAAATTTGTTTATGAATATTTTGATTGTGTCAAATGTCAATCATTTATAAACTTTGGTATATTATTGATTCTAACACATACTTTTGCTTTGCCATTCTAAACGGCTTGATGCTGTCATGCTTTGTAGATTATATATTGAACAAGCTTCCTCAAGCACATCTGTTTCTGGATATGATGATGATGATGAGCTGGAATGGGCAGAATACAAAATTAAAGAAACCAACATGTTCACTGCGGACAAATATCAACAGGTGAGGTTTTACCAGTGTCTGGTGATCATTTTCCCTTGATGAAATAGTTTATAGCTTAGTTTTTGTGATCAATTGTTTTCTGTTGAATATCCATTGTGATTAGTCTGCAGATTGGATTCTTCCCCAATGAGAAAGCATTTTCTCTAAGGTACCAGACCGCTGGCATGCTAGAAACTGTGCTAAGACAAGGGGTTCTTGGGGAAGATGACAGTGGTGAAGACTCACCAAAGTGAGTGGTTCCTCCCTCAAAAGATGTTCTTCATGATTCTATGATAAAACTTAAACAGTGGGATTGTAGCAATTGGTGTATACACATATTTCTTGTCCATTGGTGTTTCTTATTATTTTCTCTGAGCTATTTTTGTTTCTTTTCTTTCATGATCATTGGTGGAGCTCCATTGCTTTTCTAACTAAAAGGGTTTACTAACACTAAAACTACTTGGCCTCTTCAATTTGTCTTCATTGTGTAGAAATCTAAAGCTTCCTTCCCGTTGGCCTTCTATTGTATGTGAGAGTTGTCTGTATTCACTAGAGAAAGATATGCGAGTAAGAGCATTCCATATCATGGACCCAAAAGGCATTGTCGAAATGCTTCTCATCTTCCTTGAGGAAAGAGGAGATGGAGTGCTTCTTCCTCCTTCCCTCGACAATAATATGGTAAATTTCACAAAGAAAACTAGTAGTGAGGAATTTTTTATTTTTACTAGCATTACATTTTTACTTTCTGAGTGCAGTATCTTATATTATGTTTTTTTTAATTGGTCTCAGGAAAACAAAGACAGGATTGTTCCATTTCTTGGTAAGTGGAAAGGTCATTCCATAACAAAACGAAGTGGTGTTTATGGATCAACAATGGCTGAAGCTGATACAGTAACATCACTTGAGATGGATGATAAGGGCCAAATTATTCAGGTATCCTCCACTCCAAGCAAATCCTTTTCGAGACAACAGGGAATGTTGAACCGTTTTGCTTCGTTGATATAAATTTAGATGATCTAAGAACTCATTTCCCAAAAAGGAAAAATGGAAGGACTGTATACATATTATTGTTGGTTTACGTTTTGTTCAAGCATCAGTCTTTTACTTCCTTTTTTCATTTTCCCTAATTTCTGCTCATAAATAATATCAGGGCATCACTTCCACCTCTGCTGCGGGTGATGTTACCACTAATGTGCCGTGGACGGGTATCAAGTCAGACAATTTGGTTACTTTTGCTGGAGGTTACCAGATGACTTTCTTGCCTGGAGGTATGTACATGGGATGCCCATGTGATGTAGGAAAGAATGTTGCAGAATCCGTGTCATTCCATTTGGAGTTCTGTTGGCTTGAGGGCCCTGGAAAGAGACAGAGATTGGTTCGCACTTACGATGTTGAAGGTTTGGCGGTTTCAACAACATACTTCTATGAGACAAGAATGTGAGCACTCCATCTTCATTGTAGATATAATTTTTCAGAGGGAAATGTTTATTTCTATCCATGGTTTTGCACAGTTCTACATAACCCCATTTGATGCGCCAGTTTGTACTTTCTTGAAGCCTTGAACTAGTTGAGAGAGTCTGGGGACTAGTCTGGCCAAATTTTTCTTTCCTGGACGTTGGAAATATAGGAAATCTAAGGTCCCATAACCTCCATTGTTGTTGAACGAGTGTATATTATTCTTGTATGTAATTTCAGATTAAAATTAAAGACAAGTTCTAGAAGAAAAGTCTAGTTGCAGAATGCAGCAAATCACATCCATTTCCTCATTGAAAAAGTTATAAGTTTGGAATTTCTGCAACCAGAATTGCAATAAAGGCTTTTTAGAAAAATATAAGTTGTCAATTTTTCCAGTTTGTCTGGGCCCTTCATGTCGGAAATTCACTAATTTGTAATATGACTTGCACAACTTGGTGGAGATGAATCAATCATGTCCCTTGCTGCTTAAATAGCACTAGACTATCTATGTATGTGATATGCGCCCCCCACAACCACCAAAACCAAAATCAAATTAATGCAACTACTCTCCCACCTTTCTTCTTTGGCTATTAATATCTCAGTGTGGAGCTGGCATAGCAGAAACCATATAACTAGGAAATACAAGCCTACTACAAATCTAATTTATAATTTATAAGGTGTATATGCAAGATTGACCCAAAAAATACATAAATAAAACACTCATCGCAAGTCGCCGACATGCCTGTCACCGTGAAAAATAGCTTTAACTATCGAACGATTGTAGTTTAGACTATCGTTAAAAAAACAAAAAACAAACATTGCAAGCAAGCACCAGCTGTTTTTTGGTAATTGACCTTTATCAAGTTTCCATACATTTGAGAGCTTGCGTACGTCAACAAGAGTGCAAATGTCTATTTTATTATGCTACATGGCGCTGTCAATATGTTATGTTATGTAGAAGATTACTGGAATGTTCTTTTACTTTCACCTTCTGCACTTCATTCATCTTCTAAGTTGAAAAAACAAAAATTGATGGAATAATATTTTGACAATTATACATAACCTGAAAAATATAATTTAAATGTAGAAACGTACCGTGTAACACTTTTACTTTTTTATTTTTCAGATTTAAATGTCCTAAAGTCAGAACCTTTGTCGGTTGCTTACATAGGCTGCCAAAACAAGAACGATCGTGGGCTGCACATACAACACCAAAAAAAGAGAGGGAGGATTTGGACAGACGATCTAAAGATCTGGCTGTGGATAATCACAACCGTTGGGTCCCATTAGAATTGTTGATGATGATGAGAGTGGATTTTTAGTTAAATTTTTGGAGGCTTAGCTAATAATAAATCTTTTTCCGGCAAAAAAAGCTAATAAATTCTAAATTTGTAAGGAAGGACCACACGGCACCTTGATGCCGGATTTTCTTTCGTGGGGCCCTCGGTTGCTGAGTTGTCACAAAACTTCGCGTTACATGCGATGTATTACCATTTAATGGTGCTATATCGTCCCCGTTTGCAACGCTAGTTTACTTGTAAACATGCTACTTGCAATTCATCTCTCTCCACGTATTATAACTTCCTCTTGTTTTTGGGATTGATTTAATTCAAATTGTCGTTTTTTAAATTCAATTATAATGCATCGAGAGATTTTAGCATTTTCACAATTTTACATCATATATGCGTATTAACTAATTAAAATGTAAATTTTTGTTGTCTATACAAGTTTGTCACATATTTAAAATTACAGACGATTACGAGTCATATTATGTGAATCTTCTTTAAATATGTAAAACTGGGCCTCAAATTGGGAACAATTCACTTATAAACCATAGTTGGATAGTCACAAACAATATAAGGAGTTATTATTATACAAAAGAAGAAACAATAAAAAGGAGTGGTTAAGGCAAAGAAGAAGCTTAGCATCCATAGACGGAGTCTATTGCGTTAATGTTTTGTTGTGTTGGGCATCCCATGTCTTGACCCAGATGCCGGTCTTGGAGGGCAACAAAGATTAAAGTCCCATCTATATGTCTATCTGTCTCTGTCTGAATTTCACTTTGGAGCAATTTGCCATTTGGAATTAACGAAGCCATACAGCCTCTAAATAAAAACATTACAAAGGTTTAAAATAAAATTTAAATTAAATTAAATTAAATTAAAAAAACAAAGAAAATTGTCGTTGTCCATTTTCTGCTCCGTGGACTTTCCACTTGAAAATTCAGGATAGCACGAAACCACCAAAAACCCAACTAATTTCTGAAGAGCAAAACCAAGCAACACAACACAAACCAGTTGCAGAAGAAACACAGAAAATAGAGAGAGAGAAACAGAGAGTTACAGAGAGATAGATAAAACAGAGGGTTTCGGACAGAGACAGAGAAAAAAGGTGCTTGCTTGATATAGCATCAATGGCCAAAAACCAAGACTCTGAGAGAGTCTCAGTTTCAGCACCACCCCAACCGCAAAGACCAGTCATAACACTGCCACCGAGGCCTTCCGCTGAGGCCCTTTTCAGCGGCGGATCTGGAGCCAGCCCGGGTCCGATGACCCTGGTCTCAAGCTTCTTCCCCGACACATACCCTGACTCAGAGTACAGGTCCTTCTCTCAGCTCCTGGCCGGAGCCATGGGCTCGCCTATGGGGTCCACAAGGCCAATCCAATTTAACGAAAACCCAGTTGATGGTTCGGCCCAATTAGAAGGAGGCTCTGAAAATGGCGGTGAGAACAAGTCTGGGTTTAAGCAGAGTAGGCCTATGAATTTGATGGTGGCTCGGTCGCCATTGTTCACTGTTCCACCTGGATTGAGTCCCTCTGGGTTGCTTAACTCGCCTGGCTTCTTTTCACCTCCGGTAAGTTTACAAAGCTCTCCTAATGCTATATTTAATACTGGGTGTGCTCTGTTTTTTCGGTATTTGTGTGTGTTTGATTAGTAACTGTTGATCAATGGTTATGTACTTGTGTGATTTTGTGAACATGGGTTGGTCAAAGGTGCTTCTTTTGTACTTGTGGAATGCTTCTTGTGCTCAAAGGGTGTACATTTGTGGGTTGACGATATGATTGGGGTGGTTATTGAGTATTAACAGAAGCTATTACTCAATGATGGGCTGGTCAAAGGTGCTTCCTTTACAACAATTTTGTTTTGATGATAATGGCTGGCCCTTCCTGATACCCCATGCAAAATGATGAATTTCTTCACAAAATTGTGTTGTATACAAGGAAAGTTTGAAGAAATGATGGATTTCTTCACATAATTATGTTGTATACAAGGAAAGTTTGAAGAAATCAACTAATATCCAACAACAAATCAGGCCCTCAGGTTCTGCCATTCACAACAACTGTGTGAAAATCGTGCATTTATAGCCGCAACTAAATTAATGCCTATTTTCCCTGAGTGTTGGTCCTAGTTTGTATTATTTCACTCCAGTCATAAGTTTATTTTTGCTCTGTGGTTAGAATCCCCGATTAAGGATGGCTAACTATGATGTGTCTCATATAAAAAGGACACATGGGTAGCATGGGACTTCAAAGATACAATCATGACCAATTTTGGTGGACGAATTTGTTTAGTTTGTTGTGTCATGTGTGTGTATGTGCATGCCCCTATTACATGTTACATATTGTCAAAAGTCAAAATTTTGCTTAGGTAAGTATCTTTTCTACTCTGCATCGTGTAACATTTGTTAAAGGCTCCTTCAACTATGGTTAAACATGTAGAACCTTGAAGCTGATAAAGAGGTGATCTACAAATCTAAGCCATTCAATATAGTGATGCATTGGCGACAGACCATATGGAACATATGTTGTTATTGGTGCTTCATACCATATTGTCTTTCTATGCAATATAGTATGATTTCTGAAGTTGGATGACTTGTATTAGCATCAGGTACTCATGAATTTTTCCTCGTATTGGTGCAGAGTCCATTTGGAATATCACATCAGCAGGCCTTGGCGCAGGTTACTGCCCAAGCTGCACTAGCCCAATCTCGTATGCACATGCAAGCTGAATATCAACCTTCGTCGGTAGGAGCTCCCACAGAGCCACAGGCATATCATCCATCCGTAATGCCCAATGAAGCATCTCAACAGCAGACATTACCTTCAACATCTGACCATAGAAGTTCCGCGAGGCAATCATCAGAGGCATCTCATTCTGATAGGAAATACCAACCTTCATCTGTGGCCACTGATAGGCCTGCAGACGATAGCTACAACTGGCGGAAATATGGGCAGAAGCAGGTTAAGGGCAGTGAGTATCCTCGAAGTTACTACAAATGCACACATCTGAATTGCCCTGTCAAAAAGAAAGTGGAGCGTTCTCCTAATGGCGAAATAACTGAGATTATATACAAAGGGCAGCATAACCATGAAGCCCCTCAACCTAAACGTGGAAAAGATGGTGGTGATCTGAACGGACACTTGCATTCGCAGCCTAGGCCTGAAAATGGATTGCAAAGATTGGTTGGAGATTCAAACGGTTCTAGTGAAAATATAGCTTCTCACTCAATGCTTGAGAGGCATCAAGAATCTACTCAAGCTGCTCCTGGACAGTTACCAGGGGCAAGTGACAGTGAAGAGCTACGCGATGGGGAAATTAGAGAAGAGGGGGATGCTGATGAACCAAATCCAAAGAGAAGGTATTTTCAAAACCAATCATTTCATGTAATCACAGGATACTTTCTCCTTTGTTTTGTCTTAACGTTAAAATCTCCTTGTCTGGGAGTGCAGGAACATAGATGTTGGGGCATCTGAGGTAGCTTTGTCACACAAGACAGTGACAGAACCAAAAATCATTGTGCAAACAAGGAGTGAAGTCGATCTTCTAGATGATGGCTACAGGTGGCGCAAGTATGGACAGAAGGTGGTCAAGGGGAATCCTCATCCAAGGTGGGAACTTTCTCCATATGAATCTTTGCTTATTTTCAGTTCTACTGATTGCATTATGCAAATGGAATTAGGATGGTTTCTCTAAATTGTTTCTGACATGTTTATATTTAAGATCCTATAAATTAAGCATTAGGATGGCATCTTTTTTTCCCCAGTTAAAAAAGGATATAAAGTATTCTAAAAATTCTTCACACTTTCTTTTATTGTGTATCCTATTTGATAGATGGAGGTAAAATTATGAACCATTGGACTTAGAAATTAACTTTTGAGGAGTGGGATAAACTCTCGATTACTGATGTGGAGCAAGCCATTAATTAAAGAACAATTACTTTCTGATCTTAGAGAGTCACTTGCTTAGCATACCTTTAAACAATATGTGAATAATTTATTCTCTAATATTTTTCTTTCTACTTGAGATATGGTTTCCTTATTATGAGCATCGTTTCTGATACAAATGTGTTAACAGAAGCTATTACAAATGCACTTATGCGGGGTGCAATGTCCGTAAGCATGTTGAGAGAGCTTCCACTGACCCCAAAGCTGTCATCACTACATACGAGGGGAAACATAACCATGATGTTCCAGCAGCTAGAAACAGCAGCCACAACACAGCCAATAACAATGCATCACAGTTAAAACCACTGGCGGTTGTGAGAGAGAAGCATCCCCTTCTTAAAGGGAGAGAATTCGGAAACAATGACCAGAGACCAGTACTTCTACAGCTAAAAGAAGAGCAAATCTTTGTGTGAAGTGCTCCGCTGAAATCGATTATGGAAGTAGAGGTCAGCAGTCAAGTCCAACCAACTAACATTGTGCAAACTGAATGAATACAGAAAATAAAGAAAGGCCTAGAGAGGTTTTTGCGTGGTGATTGTTGCTGGTGTGTGATCCGTTTTGATAAAATGCAGAAAGTTTTGCTGTAGGCCCTACATGATTTGTAAATTTGAATGCAGAAATAGGGTCGTATAGAATTATTTCACACTGAAATGGGAATACAAGTATATCTACTCATGTATAAATTTACTTTTAACATATTCTTAGTCTTGTTTATTTCTGCTTATGTGGGCTTCTTTTCGTGGGCTGTTTTATGACCGGCACAAAGCAAGGCTGGCTGGCTGGCTGTTCTTCATCCTGTTTATTACCTCTCTGCTTATGTGTGCTGTTTTTACTTTTGGGTACATGCCTACGTGGGCTGTTTTAGGACTGGCACAAAGCAAAAAGTTGAGGAGGCAGGCCAACTCATCTTTCATATGATCTTGTTTGTATGTTGACTGCCTGCACAGTGAAGCTGTGGCTTCGCATATCGAATAAGTTTGGTTTCCATGATTTGGTTAGAGATCCAAGTTTTAATTGCATGGTCATGTTTGTTTCGAAAACCATATCACAAAAGTTTACAACCATGCATTTGGAAGCAACAAAGAAAGATTTAAAATTAATAGCTCTTAACTACTTGTTTAGGAGTGATTCTAAACAGGCAAGTAATCATTTGAAGTGATTTTAAGCAATTATGAAGAAAATCACTTCTCATGTGTTTCTCCATAAAATCATTTTAAAACCACTTAAAAGTGATTTAAAGTGATTATATGGAGAAATACGGGAGCGGTGTTTATCCCCATAAGTGATTTTGGTCCTCCCAAAATTACTTGTATGTCAAACGGATCAAGTGCCTTGTGTTCTTCGTATACTTCAGCCTCTTTTAAAAAACTTATTTGCATAATTGAAAAAAGAAACGACTAATTTTAGAAATTGTTGTGACACCCCGACTCATAAACTTTGCACAGCCTTCAAACAAAATGTTGACCAGTTTTTCGGAGGAACAATGACCGACATACCAAAGTTCTTTATCCAAATGTACTTTGGTCCAAAGTTGAAATCAAACATAAACTGAGTTCATTGAATCGGGTGGAGTGGTGTAATTAACAGAGTGCTATATTATACTGTAAACAATTTGATGTGGATTAGGAAGGTGGGGTCTTTTTTATTTATTCGTTTATTACTTTTTTCAGTCTAAAGTGGAGCCAAAGATCCAAAATGAATAGCATGTACAAAAACAGGGGAGGGTTCCAAAAAACTAATAATATCTACTCTGTTTCTGGATATACAATCATGCAGTGCAGTGGGGCTGTTGGGCAGTTGGCCTGCAACCACCATCACCACCCTCACCTCTCACCCCATGAATGACAGTCATGACACAAACTCCACAACTCACTCGCTCTCTCTCTCTCTCTCTCTCTCTCTCTCTCTCTCTCTGTTTCTCAGTGTCTCTGTGCGACTGTGTCCATTTGTCCAACCAAACACCAAACCATGAAAGCAACAAATGGAAAAGATAGAAAATAAAAACAGAACAACCAACATCCCATCTTTTCCTTTTTTTTGTAAAATTACAAACCCAAAAAAAACATAAAATAAAAATGAAAGCAAAGCAAAAAAGACACAAAGAAAGAAAGAGAAAGATGAAGAAACAGGTTAGGACCCACGCATGTATATGTAGAAATCAATGTTGTTGTCTGTTGTCGTCTCTTTCTCTTTCTGTAATTGTCCTCCTTTGGTTGCGGACCGTTGGTCGTTGCATCCTCATAATCCTCCCGCACATTTCGCAAAAACCGGGGACTCATTGGAAACACCCAAAAAACCAGCCAAAAATGGCGACTCTGTTTTCTCCCGAGGGCTTAAGCCTCCCATTATTGTCCCTCCCCCAATTTTGGCTTCGTATGCAAATCCATTTTTGAGCTCGTAATGCTGTAGGGGTAACCTCCCTTTATCGACCCATCTCCCGATCTCGGCCGTCGATCTTCCGCCACCCCACATTTTTCCGATCGATCGATGCTGGCGGGATTTGGCGGCGGTGAATGGGTTGCATCAGCTCGAAGCAGGCGGCTGCCTCGGCGTCTCCTTGTTTCGAGTACTCGGCCGCCGTGGCCGACAATGGCTCCGTCGTTCTAGAGCCTTCTTCTTCTTCCCTGAAGAACAGCGCCACCACCACCACCAACAATAACAGCAAAATCAACCGATCCAAATCCAAATCCAATTCAAAATCTAAGTCTAATTCAAATTCTTCCGAATTTAAGAAAACCAACAGTAAGAAGGACATTCAACATCAGGACAAGTCTGAGGATCGGAGCAGAGAGTTGATTCAGTTGAAGAAGCCAAAGAAGGAGAAGGAGGGGTCTCTAAATAGTTATAATAGTCACAATAGTCATAATGGCGGGAAAGGCAGTGGTTTCAGCTTCCGGTTGGGTTTTTCTAATCGATTGTCTTTGGAGGCTGAGCAAGTCGCCGCCGGTTGGCCCTCCTGGCTCAGCGCCGCTGCCGGTGAAGCCATTTATGGCTGGGTCCCTCTCAAAGCTGATTCTTATGAGAAGTTGGAGAAGGTAACACCTTTGGCAACTCATGCTCTGTTCTTTTGCTTCTTTTTTTTTTTTACAACTATCACATTAGATTCCAGGCTGATGTTTTCTGCATCCAATATTTGTCAATGAATTGGCTATCTGATTGATTTGATTCAAATTGAAAGTTCCCATCTTTCGTTTGTTTAAATGTTCAAGCCTTCAAAATCTTGCAATGTGATTTTTGTTTTGGTGTAATTCAATACCAAGTGAATCATTATGATTATGGCCTCACATGCATGTTAGTTTTTGAAATGTGCTATATATATATATATATATATATTTCTCTGCCCACATTGGTTTGAATCTTGCATTTGCTTACAGTTTATTGATTTTTTACAATCGTTCTTTCTAATTGCTTGTGTGCATGTAGATTGGACAAGGTACGTACAGCAGCGTGTTTCGAGCACGCGAAGTTGAAACAGGGAGGATTCTTGCACTCAAGAAAGTGCGTTTTGACAATTATCAGCCGGAGAGCATTAGATTTATGGCACGAGAAATTATGATTCTTCGTAGGCTTGATCATCCAAACATCATGAAATTGGAGGGGATAATAACATCTCAATCATCGAGTAGCATATACCTCGTATTTGAGTACATGGAACACGATCTTGCTGGACTAGTAGCTAGTTCTGACATCAAATTCAGTGATATGCAGGTTAGATTCTTGCTTAATTCCTTTCCTTTAGCAAGTTTTGCAGAAACAGTATTTGTTATCAAAGCATTTTCTGCAGTACCAAGTATACAACTTTGTCAGAACATTCTTCTTTTTCTCTACCATACAAGTCAATAATTTTGGTTCAATTTTGTTTCTGTAGATTAAGTGTTATATGAGGCAGCTATTATCTGCAGTCGAGCACTGTCATTTAAGAGGCATTATGCATCGAGACATCAAAGCATCAAATATTTTGGTAAACAATGACGGGATTCTAAAGTTGGGAGATTTTGGATTGGCGAATGTCATTAACTCCAAGAACAAGCAACCGCTGACCAGTCGTGTGGTGACCTTGTGGTATCGTCCACCTGAACTTCTGATGGGGGCAACGGAGTATGGAGTATCCGTGGATCTATGGAGTGTCGGCTGTGTATTCGCAGAACTTTTTCTTGGGAAGCCTATCCTTAAAGGGAGAACTGAGGTAAGCACAGTGCTCCTCTGTTTATATATTTATAGAACCTTTGCCTTATTGTACGCTAATATACAATCCTCATAAGCAATATGGCATTTAGAATTCAAGATGAAGTTAATAACTAGCGTCTCGGTTTCTAGCACTTAACAGACTCTCATGCTGTTTTATTTAATTTCCAGGGGACTATGATCATATGAGATTGTACTTATCTGACAGCTGAAGTTAACAACCACCCTCTCATTTTACAGGTTGAACAATTACACAAAATTTTCAAGCTTTGTGGCTCTCCACCAGAAGAATACTGGAAAGCGTCAAAGCTTCCTCATGCAACCATGTTTAAACCTCAGTATTCTTATGAGAGTTCTCTTAGGGAGAGGTGTAAAGAATTTCCGACTACTGCAGTGGACATGCTAGAAAATCTTCTTTCAGTAGAACCTTACAAGCGCGGGACTGCCTCCTCTGTCCTTATGGCTGAGGTAATGGTTATGAAAACATGATCTCTGTAGAAACATCTTCAACGCAAAAATTCTGAATTTCAATATAGAGCTCAAAACATTGGCACAAGTTAGCTGTCCTAAGTAGTTGTACATGGCAAATCCTTTGGACATTGTTTAAAGAGACATTCTTTAAAGCTAACAAAAGTTCTAACTTTGCTGATTCAATTCTTTATCATGGATATTTTCCTCCAGTACTTCAGAACAAGGCCTTATGCATGTGATCCCTCTCACTTGCCAAAGTATCCTCCTACCAAAGAAATGGATACCAAAAGTCGTGAAGACTCGCAAAGGTAAATTCTTCATTCATAAACATTTCAATTGAGGTTGTGGTTCGGATATATCTATAGGACTCAGGTGTTTCCATTTTGAGTCGTGAAGTTTACTGAGAACCGGATTCAAATGTATAATACTTTATAGATTAAGACAATGCTTTACTGCTGCAGTTAATTATGGGGTACTTAGATGACTGCATTTGCTACATTCTCAGACAACTTAATTGTGTTGAATAACTTGTGTTGTCAGGAAAAGGCCTGGTATTCGAGCTCGAGAGACATCAAGGAAGCCAAGGAGAGTTCGTAAGACCTTGCAAGAGTCAAATAATTCCGCTAAGTTAGCACCAAAAGAGGTGTTTCTCTATCTCTATTCATGCATGTGTATCTGTGTTTTTGTGTTATAGAAGGAAGAAGCAAGAAGCCAACCAGTTTTAACTGAATGATTTATCCTTGACTGTACAGGATGGGCAAGATGATAATACTCAATCTGCTCGTTGCAACCCACTTATCTTGAGGGAAAAAGGAGGTCTTCTGCGCCGTGAGTCTCTAAAACAGTCATTCGATACAGTTTCAGAGAATTGCAATTTGAACACATCCCAGGGAGATAGTACATTCTCTTCTGGTGCGCATATCTCAGCAGCAAGTGGCTTTACATGGGCAAAAAGGCAAAATGAGGATGGTACAAAATCCGCAGTTTCAGATGGGTCTAAAAGCCAATTCAGTGCACTGGATACAAATTTTGCAAAGACTACATTTGACTTTAGCAGACAAGGGAATGGAACTTCCAAGATTGCAATGCGGAAGCTCAGAACTTTCGATACATCTGAACTTTGCAGGGCAGATGAATCAGAAGATACAGGAAACGACATGGTAAGGACCAAGGACACAATCATCATCTTTGATACAATTTACCCAAAACGCTCTTATTATGACTTATCCTTTAACAATATATTAGGATTCCATTGATGAAGAGAAGCATGTAATTGAGTATTCGGGGCCGCTAATTTCCCAACTGTGTAGAATGGATGAACACTTGCGGAGGAATGAAAGCCATATACGCCATGCAGCTCGCAGATCAAGGTTTGAAAGAGGTACGCAGGCAAGTCTTGATCATGGTAGAGCTTGAAGAGGTACACATGTACCATATTACTTATCACATTACTCGTCATATTTGTTTCAGAGTTAGAACCCCAGGCATTACAAGTGGCTCTATGAGATATGAGATACGTAGCTGGCAAATGTGGTACAAATAGTTTTATTATGCAGCGTATGCCGCGGAGAAGGCGAATGTCTCGTGAATGGAACTTATATATGTGCAGAGAAATGGTGCAAGAGCTGGCAATGCTTGTTGAATCAAGTTCATCATCAACCCTCGAGTATAATTGGAGCTCAAATGACAAATTTCTGCTGGGCACCTCAAACCCTTTGTATCATCATAAACTGAGAAAAAGGCATAAAATTTATACAGATGTACAACAACACCACAGCCAATATAACAAACGTTTGGCAACCCAAATCAATTTTTCATAAGCTGCACAGCTCGCCTCTGATCACTAAGCTGACCATTTTGCCCCTTATGGGTGTTAAATTAAATTAAATTATTTTTCAATTTGATTTTCTTTTTGGGTAACCTAACCATAGTGGCACATAATCAACAGAAAAGTTACTGGCACACTGTTCTTATTTCCACAGATTTTTTTTATAAAAATTATTAATTACGGATGGACAATTTTTTCTATACTCAAATTCATAATTAAAAAAAGCTATTCATAAATGGGTGAAGAAATTACGAAAAATATAAAGGAAACTCAAGCCAAAACAAATAAAAATAAAAAAGAGAAGTAATTTATGGGCAATTAAAATATGAGACCATGGTCGATGAACTCAGATCGCATAGGGGAAAACAAAAACAAAGAGAGAATTAAAAAAACAAATTTAAATAATTTTTATAGATTCAGAAGCCAGAAATTTGGTTTTGATTTTGAATGAAAAAGAAAAAAAGGTTAAGAAATAATGTAGGGCAAACAGATCGCTGATGCTGCAAAAACTAGAGCAGCAGAGCGGCCATGGAGCCCCAAACGCAACCCCTAAAGTGAGAAGTTGGTTGTTAATGTGTACCCAACGCACTGACGTGCGCCACGATTAAAACCTCTCCCGTGGAATACCACGCCGCCTCTTCCTTACGAGGGGAGCGCTCGGCCTCGGGCACTTTTCTTCTGCCCGCGTCTTCCACTCTTTTATTTATACCCTCATAACCCTAATCTCTGTTTTTTCTTTTTCGGAAATAAATCAATCAATCAAATTTCCTTATATGCCCTTGCATATTGCAAGATGAAAATGTTTTTTCTTATTTTTTTTAAATGTTTCTAATTTATGAATTTATATCAACAGAAATTGTAATGGGCTGGAAAATGGTAATTTAAATTTTAAAACATGTGAGATAAATAAAAAGATCAAGAAATTATAATATGATATCTTTTGCATTTGTTCAATTATTTATCGGTGATCTGGTTGGGCATGTATGAACCATATAATATAGGATAAAAATGTATTTTTGGTCACCATCGTGTTTTGTCCTGAATTTAAATTTGGCATGTGATTTTATTTTTCTGAATATAAGATAAAATGCAATTTAAGTACCATCGCGGTTGATATGTAACCACATTATTATATTGGAGAAATTATAGAGTAGTACAAATGATTCCGATATTAAACCTAGTCCTAGTAACACTCCTAAATCCTAAGCAGATTATCACCAGTAATATACCCTTTAATTTAATTGTACAACGCTAATCATGATTATAGAAACGGGTATAAAGGAACACTTTCATGGGGTATAAAGATCTTCTTCTCTTTGATTTACAAAAGGGCATCTCTTGATCACCAATTTCACGTCATGCCCTGCATGCATCTTGATCATGATTCATTCATCATCAAGGGTCACTAGACCGGGAATTTGACCATGATCTACAAAATCTATCTTGTTCAGTCTCATACAACACAGCACTTGCTCTGGCAACTCTTCCTGTTTTTGTGCCTACAAGCAGCAAACCCGATAGTCAGACCATTAACACAATTTCCAGCCAAACCACAGAAAAATATAACAAGATTGCTGGTTACCTGGATAGTTAAACCGAAATCCAGTATTCCGTTTTTTAGACGTTCTCGAAACGATTCAAGACCCTTCCTTGATATGTAGCTGAAGCGATGAATGTCCAGATCAATCTCAAAGTAGTTAGGACCCTGCATGTGAGAGAGCTTGATGAAGTCGAACAACATGGTTTTTAGGCTTCATCATCTTAACACTCAGCAACATGAATGTTCAATGTTTACCTTGTAAAAATTGTGCTGGGGGCGTGAAAGAACTGGTTTGTCATTATATGCATGTACAAGCTTCTTCTCAGCAGAACTCAGACCGAGATCTTCAGGATTTACCACCCCAGCCAAGATCTTTAGTCTTTCTCTAAAAGGTACAGTGGAGTCCTTTGCGAATCCTTTCACTTTTTCCGTCTCATCGTCAACCATTTTCTGAAGCATCATTCAAATATATCAACAGAGTGCGAGTTCCAATACAACATAAGATCACATTTCCATCAGGGAGAGTACATCAGAATAAAGCACACACCTATCCAAATGGATGAATTTGCATACAAAATGAAGTTACCTTGATGCTGTCCTGGAATTGAGGAGAGATGTCTTTATCAAAATTCTCAGAAACTTTGAAATACATTACAAGACTCATCCCCTCTCCATCACTATCACCAAGAAACATTGCAGCAGGATAAGTAGGCAACTGCAACAGGCGCAGAGCAATATCATTAGATACTGCCAAAAATATAACAAGATAAATCACTTCTTAAAAAAAATACCTGTATGTTTACAATGAGGAGTGGAGGCACTTTTCCGTTTGCTTTCACATTGGGAAGCTCAAGATGCTGGGCAATGTGATGTATCTTTTTGGGGCATACAAACACATCAACACCTATTGGAGTATATGGACTGTAGTTCGGAGCAGGTGACTTTCGTTTATCTCTGGATGGTAGACCAACAGAAAATAATATTATCATTAGCAAGGAAAAATAGAGTAGTTAGTTGCAAATCTAAATTTAGTTAAGGTTGGTTTTGACAATAGAAAAAACCAAAGTCATACTTGAAATAGTTCTCGCCACGGAGTTTAAAAGTTGAGGGTGGAATCTCAGACCAAGATCCTGAAGTCGGCTTCTCTACTCTACAACATGGAATGATATATCCTGGTCTAGGCCGATACAGAAACCTTTTTGATTGACCTGTGGAAATATCATTGAAATGTTCAGTAATATACATGTACATCAATCCCAATATTCTAAGTTTTCTTTCTATTCAAAGAAAATTGAAAATTGAAATATTTGAATACTTACATTGTTCAATGGTTTCTTCTGCATCACAGGATCTCCTTTTAAAAGAAAGCCTGAACACTGATGATGGCTTTCTCTGGGACTGCGGAGCCAAACTCTGTGCACTTAGAATCTTATCGTTGAAACTTACAGAAGGTACCAATCGAGATAAGCCGGATTTCAGGGCATTGTCTTGAATTTTTTCATTAGAATCACGTCCATCCTCTCTATGTCCTTTAAAGCTTCCATAACAGTGATCTAATATATTCTTCCTCTTACTGCAAACTTCATCAGCCTTCCCTAAGCGTGAAAGCTCATAGCCCTGGGTACTAATAAGTGAAAACCGATTTGATTCCCTGCGCTCATCTGTGCCTGTGATTTTATCTGATTTACCTCCATCTATTTTCATATAGCTTTGGTATTCTTCATACTTACACCCATTATCAACAAAGCGAGCAGATCTTTCGTACTGAAGTACTTGGCCACTTGAGATATTCCCAATTGGATTGCTTGCTAATGGAAAACTATCTGTAGAGTAAGAGAAGAAAATTAAGAAAACAAAACAAAATCCTTTTCCATTAAGTAGCTCGAGAAAAATTACTTCAGTAGTAATGACGTTTTGCAATCAAACAAGACCACAAGGCTTTCATTCTGTAATATGTAGTTACAGGCTGATGGCCAATACCTCCGTGTATACTGATAAAGTCATCATCTGAATCAGACTCCAGAATACTCACTGAGTCAAACCAAGCTTCCTCTTGGCAAATTACTGCAAACGAATAAGTTTCAAAATATGAGATTCAAGAGCTATGAATTTTCTTGTCAGCATTATTGGTTGAAATTGAAAGACAGTTGAAATCTGATGAAAGAGAGCACACACCATTCGCATCATATTGACTGTGGTTCCATTGCAGCTGGGTGAGATGGAATGTTGAATTAGAAACCTTAGATCTTCTGTGAGTAGTTGTTGCACCATTCTCAAAGTCCACATGAACAAACTCACTGACAGCATAGTCACTCACGCGAGCTCCTGCATCACTATATATTTTCTTGAAACTGGTATTTCTTTTCTTGGTACCATCTGAAGCAGAGCAGGCTGCCTTTCTATGGCGTTTGATGACCCGTTGACAGTGTTTTTTCCGTGATTTAATTGTTTTGGATGGGGTTGACATGCAACCACCCATTGTAGCTCTTAAATCATGCAAGTCCCAAATACAACGATGCCTTCATCAAGTCCTCCAACTTGTGTGCCTACAATGAATAACTGAAACAAAATACATCAGAGATGAATAAAGGATTTCTGGAGAGCAGTTTCTATGATCACAAATAATCATGAGAACGCAATCAATTCTTTCATCATGAGACTGTTTCAGTAATTGATGGCTCAAATGCTAGGCCAGTTAACCAACTTAACACTTGGAAATTATTAGAATCAAACGGATGACACAAAGAGGTCTCTATGTTTAATGAGTATGGTGACACTATCAGAAAGCACCTTGGTTAGAAACGACTGGTAACTTGAAGCACTACACTAGTTATTCAATCAATTTGTAGATGAAAATTTGTGCAATCATCATAAAAATCAAATGTCTGATTCAAACCTTCTCAAACAAAGTGGGGTGTATCTTTCCCAGTCCCATAGATAAGCCACATATCTATCTTAAGCCCCACATATTTAGTTCTGGCTCACTGGAACATAAACGTGACCAGCAAACAAAAAGATAGTACAACCACTTCAAGAACAACTAAACAAAACCTTAGTCCTTCTACTTGCTATTGGATACAAAAGTCTTTTTTCTTCTCAAGCTCCATGAAGAAGCAGAAATAATAGGTGTGAGGATGTAAGAGAAACAAATACCATCAATGCCACTGTTTAAGATAAGAAGACATGCCCGGCTGTAAAATCTAACATCTAACGACAATTCCTCTTTGCATAAGACTTCTATCACTCAATAAGTTCTATCACTCAATAAGGAGGGATGGGAAAAGAAAACTCCAAATGTGATTCTAACCGATGACCTTCAGGAATATGATGAGGCTTGAACAGTATTTTCCCCCCTTATTCATCACTGTAATTTTCTTTTCAAAATATGATTAGAAATTCTTAGATAACAGCTATCAACTTAATATGTCATGAAATGCTACTATGATATTAGATCAAGTAGTTAGGATCCTGCTATAGTAATGCATCTTCATTGTTAGCTCACATTTCACTTGAATAAAGGCAAACAATAAAAGACACAGAATAGTAACATTGAAACAGTTGATCTAATCTCAGAATTGGAACATAAATAATGACACAGAAAATTTCACAAGTTATATCAAACAGAAAAATTCAAAAGAATATCCCTGCTAACTAAGCAATATCAGGCAAATTCTATCAACTCACTGCTATATAAACAAGAAAGGCAGAAATTTCAGAGCTTAAATTCTGTAGTAAAAAATTCAGAATTACATACCCAGAAAACAATTCTGCATCTCTTTCATAAATTTCCAAACTGACAGACACATAAATATAAAGGGAAGGGGGGAGAGAGAGAAGAATAGCACCCTTTGAGTTTCAAGGAGGCTCCTGTTTTAACTTCCAAAGAGATATTAAAATTGCAAAAGGTAGAAGAAACGGCAGAGGGCCCACTTCCAAGGATGTAAAAGAAGACAAACGAATAGGATTGCAAGCAATCATATAACATATTTAAATGTTTTTAAAAAAGAAAAAATGGAATTCGTTCCCATCAATAGGACAATAAAAAGTGTAAAAATATGACATTTCGTTTGAAAGAAGAAGCAATGAAAGAAATACAAGAAGGAACACACAAAACTCAACGAACGAAAATGAAACAAATCAAAACAGACAACAAAGAGTCAGCATCACACAACTAAATGAATTTGAAAACAAGGAGCATAATCCCATTACGAATCCCATGAAATTTACGAATTTGTGATAAGCAAACGTCCCAAAAAAAAATAAAAATGAAGGCAGCATATGAAAAGTGAGAGCCTTTACAGATGAAACTAAATATTGGCAACTTTGGACAAAAACCCAGAAAATCTAACGCAATCAATGACCAAAAGATAGATAGAGATCGTCAAAAGCCGCAGCCTTACCTTGTTGCCAGAATGGTATCTTCAACTCCCTCTCTCTGAAACAAGAAACAGAGCCAAACCCAGTATGGGGCAAAAGCAGAGAGAGAATGAGATGGGGCGGATGGGTCCGACAATGTCGGATCCGGGTCTGATGTTAGAACTCGCTGCTCTTCCTTTTGAAGCTTGGATAACTTAAAAAAAATAAAAAGTAAAAACCTTTTAAATATCAATGGAAGAACAAGAAGGAGATAAATGATAAGGAGGATGATGAGGAAGGGTTTTGATTTATAAATAAAATTTGTAAAGTGTTTTTCAGAGAGAAGAGGTTGGTGGTGGGCTTGAGCTCTTTCTTTCTTTCTTTCTTGCTTGCTGTTCGTATTGTTGTCCTTGAGTTTAGCAAATAGCGTCCGAGATTTCGGTGGTCAAAAGCAGAGACTGAGAGAGAGAGAGAGAGAATGGAGCAGAGGTTGTCAATATACTTGTCATTAACTTACTTTCACGTCTGTCTCCTTCCTTCATAAAAATCCGGATTCACAGATTCTTTTTTATTAATCACTAACTAATTTACTTCCTCTGTTCCTCTGTTTTTGTTTCGTGTCTTCTGGTTGTCGCTCTCTCTTTCCTGTTTACAAGATTCATCTTTTCTACAAAATATTCTTCCTTTGAAATATGAATTGCTAATTACGCATTGCTAGGATCTGGCTTACCATATTCATCTTTTTAGTTTTAATTTTAAGATAAATACTTATTAGCATTTTCTATTACTTTAGTGACAAATAAATATTTTTTCGTAGTATTAAAATGTTATCTATGTCTATCCCTTTCATGAAAGGTTACCAAAATAATATTTCCTAACCGAAAAAAATATATACCTCTATTACTTTCTTGGTGTAATCTTCTTTATTTGATGTATGTGCATTTTTTTCACATAAAAATAACGACAATTGTTGAATAAAAAAACGGCATTACTATTTGAAAACTCTTTTTATAAACGGGGCCCGGGATATATTGAATATGTATTCTACCCCTCGAACTGTAAGTCCCATCCCATAGTTTTACAAAACATTTTGTATCTCCAATCTCATTCTTTTTTATAATTTTCTAATTAGTGGGATCGTAGTAGTTTAATTATGTTGACTTCCTTGCGTTTATGAGTCAACACATTTCCATGGAATTTGATGATCTCAACCGGCCTTCATCTTGGTCTAAAGCTCAGGCAGGGGATACCGCATCATCACGTGTGTGAACATGTAATTAACGATTGATTCAACATGTAATTATGATTAACTACAGTTGTCAAGAATACAAAGTCTTTTTATCTTCATTTTATTGATGAAATAAAAGGATTATAATGTATTTCAATATTGCATGTATTGGCGTGGGCCACATGGGCACCACATATAACTTATGTTTATTAATATGACAATTGGATATGACCCAACCAAACAGATTGTCTGCCTCTTGTGCATAATTATATGGTTTACAGCTTCATACAGCTGCTTTTGTTTCCCTACCTTTTCTTCTGCTCTTTCACTATGCCTCACTCACACAGTCACAGTCACAAGTCTGATTTTACCTGTTTTTGGAGGCATGATGCCTTTGCCTTAATGAAATAGCAACACCTATATGTCAATGCTTGCACCCAACTTATAAGAAAACTTTATCATACCTACTTTTTAAGAGAGAGAGAGAGAGATCCACCATTCATTGACTTGGGGGCTTCAAGGTTGGTATATAGCCCTAGCTATTTATAAGAAATATATATTTTCGGAGGGTGGGGCACGGAATTATACTCTTTGTTGAGCGATAGGGGCACCTAAATTTTTCTATAGCAGTGCTGGGCTTTTTCTAAAAGTTGTGTAATTTATTAGAGCCGTGAAGAGGTGGATAAGACTTGAACCCTAATTGTAAACTGTAAGTGACATGAACCTAACTTGAATATATGGAGATGCTTTTGCCACATTTAAAACAAAAAAAAAAGATTTTTACACCAAACACGAAAAGGATAGGGCAAGCAAGCTATGATTCATCTCAGCTGCAGATTTGTAAAAGGGAGAGGGAAAAGTAATTTGAGTGACAATCAATTTCCATGAAAAGAATTCTCTACCTATGATTAGGATATTTGAGGCTTAGAACTCACCTAATAATCTATATATATAAAGTAAAAGGCAAATAATAGTGAAACATTCAAACTATTAAAAAAATATTCTTGGTTAATACAAACATTAAGAATTAATTTTTTTAATTAAATGAGGATAATATGGTAAATTTACACTTTAAAAAAAATTAAAATTAAAAGAAAATTCAGATAATAGATCCTATTTTTATGGAACATAACTACTCATTATCTTTTTTAATTCTAAAAAAAATTAAATTTTTTTTTTAAAAAGTCCTCTTGCATGTGCGGAAGTGCGTGCAGAGAGGCTAGTCTATATAATAAAAGATGTTGCCATGGCAATTTCATTGCAACGTGGCACATGACAGATTGCTTTCAGAAAAAACAATCCAAATTTAATTTTCTTTTACTTTTTAAATTTCGTAGAACAAAAGAATCATTGCAACTAATAATTAGAATATATGATGCGTTCTTTACTGGTCTCTATAAAGTGGAACAACTCCATATATGATGCGTTTTAGCTTTGAACTTTTGAAATTAGAGTAGCTTATAGATGGACAATAGTTAAACCCCATTTGATAACCATTTCAATTTTTTTTATTTTTGTGCTAGAGTATAGAGGAAAATGATAGTGAGAATGGGAGTAAGGATGAGATTGAGAAAGACGATGAGAGGAAAAGATGAGAGGGTAAAGTAACAAAAGTGAAAATAATTTGAAATAGATTTTAATTTTTAGTGTTTGTTTTTACTTTTGTTACTCCTCCCTCTCCATCCTCTCCTCTCATCTTCCCTCTCAATCTCATCTCCACCTCATTCTCACTTCCATTCTCCCTCGTTTTCCTCTATACTCTAGCACAAAAAAATAAAAACTAAAAACTAAATTGAAATAGTAATCAAAGGACACTATAAATATTTTGCAGCATGACTAAATGCAGTGATGTTTGTATAGTAAGTACATTGCTTCGGTGACAAGTGTGTAAAAGTTTAGACGACAAGTATTAATATAAATATGTGATTATTTAAAGTTTGGTCTTTGATTAACTTTTACTTAAAGCTTTTGGAGATTTAGCATATCACGGGTACAAATTATGGTCTTAACGAATGGTATATTCCCTATCCATTTGTTTTCTGGACAACGAGATATTCTAACAACTTTAAATGTAAAAAGAAGGGAAATCGAACTCATGTACAAGAAGACGAATACATTGTCTTAATCAACTTCCTAACTCTCGTATGCTCCTCATATGTATTTTAAGTGACGCATAATCGGATCCCATCCAATGTTTTGGTCTTGAAACTTGAAAGAATCAACTAGAACCAAACCACAAAACGTTAAGACAAGAAGCAACATTATAGGCAAAACGACGTGAAGCTAAATTCTCCCCAATGACTAATATAAGTGCGCAATAAAATGAATAAAAGATGAAGGAAGTGGCGATCTGTTCTGCTAACATGAAAGTGCACAGAGCACGTGACATGCACGAGCATATTGCAGAAAAAGAAAGTGGATATATGCACGCACAATTAAATTAGCCCGTTGTTTAATCATCTTGCATTATATATAATTAATTGTATATTGTCTGTCCGCTTTTTTATTTCATTTTATTTTTTTTCAGATGGTTGAGATATGCATGACCTGAAACTGACAATTAAATAAGACAAACCAAGTGCTTGTTAAATTATAGGTTGAATGGGTTTGAAATTATAGCTACAATTGGCGTGAGAAAAATGAAAGCAAAAGCATACCAGCACATGGGATGGGATTGGGATTCTGGAGAAGCTTTTTGGAATTTATTCATGATCCAAGTATACAACAAATCTTCCAGTTTGTTCAAGCGATTGCTGGGAAACTTCATATTTATATATCAAAATCAATTGACTGGGTTTTTTTCTTTTCCATAAAATAAAGGCCATAGCTTCAACACAGTTTACTCTCTCAAGCCTGGAGGGCACATGTTGACGAGTCCTTATTTAGTTAGGATTTTGATTCTTTATTATGTTAAGATTTTGATTCATTACATATTCATTTAGTCCTATTATAATTGAGATTTATTTCCTATAGTAATTTGGATTTATTTTCTATATTATTAAGGTCGGAATCAGATTTTCCAATTCAATTCACACCCCTAGATAAGTTAAAAGGAGAAAAAGGCATAAAAGACGAAGATGTGTTGGGGTACTTTTTGTGGTTGCGGTTCGATAATGGCGAATTTTACCCCGAACCGCAAACCGACCGACTATTTGCGGTAAGGTGATTTTTGAAACCGCAAAAATCGGTCGGTTACCGTGAATTAACAGTTTAAACCGATTTGAATATTTTGGGCCTAAATTAGACAATTTTATATCTTTAAGTGTGGTCTTTTTGTGTCATAAAAATTCAATCTTCCACACTTTTAAGCCTAGGTTTGATGCTCCTTTTGAAGTTTTTTGAGTTCAAGCATACTTTAACCCAAAAATATAAATTCACAACCTCAACTTCTCAAGCATATATAAATTCATAACCTCAACCTCCACTTCTCATACATTCACAACCTAAAGAAAAATCAAATTCAAAGTTAATTAAAGTTACAAACCAAAAGGAGAACTCAAGTGTAGGTGGTGGTGAGTGAATTTTATTATAAGAAGAAGCCCTTTTTTATGAGTTGGAGTAGAGGTTGTGTTTGGGGATTAGAGGCATAAGGTATGTTAGAATGGCTAGACTCCATCTATAACACAACACAACACAAAAGCAACAACATAAAAGCATATTAATAATAGATTAAACTCAACCAAATTAAAACACAACATCTAACTACTAAAATGCAATTTTAAAAAAAAAACATATTTGCGGTTTGCGGTAACCATGAGTTGCCAAAATCACATACCGCAACCGCAATTGCGGTTTGGTTTCTAAAACCGCAATTTTTGGTCGGTTTTTAGGTATTGTGATTCCAATGCTGTATAATGTCGATTGGTTTTTGCGGTTTTTCAGTTTTTCGGTCTAAAATGTCACCCTTACTTTTTATTATATTTTAAAATAAATAGAAAGCAAATAAATATATTGATTATTGTATTCATAAAAAAGCACAAGAGTGTTTGTTACTTCAGTGGTGTGAGTCTTTTTCACTTGCACTAAAGAGGCCAAGGGTTCGAAACTCCTTGGAGTCAATATTTTTGCATCTGACGTGGCGTGACGTGAATGGAGCAAGACGCTGATTCAATGCTGAGGAGGATCAGACCCGGATAAGAGTCCAAACGTCGACCCTCCCGGACAGAACTACTCCATCGCACCCGTCGATCTCATTCAGTTCAGTCATCCTAGCCGTCCATCACGTATAAAACGACATGTCGTTTTCCATTTTTTTGTGTGCAAGTTTATTTATCTTTCTGGG